TCAGGTAAATCACTTGTGTAAAGAGAAAATAAGGTCGGTCCTAGAACGGAACCCTGCGGTATTCCAGATTTAACAGTGTTAAGATCTGATGCTATACCATTTAGGACAGTATATTGTTTTCTATTGTCAAGGTAACTGCGCAGCCAGTCGATTAATGCTTCATTAATTCCAAAATCATTTTCTAATTTACATAATAGCACATTATGGGAGACACAGTCGAACGCTTTCTGGAAATCTACCAGCACTATACCAACAACTTTATTTGAATCAATGGCACTCCTCCAAATTTCTGTAATATGTACTAGCAACAGCTCTGTAGAATATCCTCTCCTGTAAGCCCATTGTTTGTCTGTAATTAACCTATTTTCAATAAAAGCATGGTGAATGATCGAATCAGCAACAATGGTTTCAAGTATTTTGCTCGGAACACTGAGAAGAGATATGGGGCGATAATTTCCGATTTCAGTCTCGTCATCCTTTTTAAAACAGGATTGACTCTCGCAGTCTTCCATTGGCTAAAGACGTAACCATCTTTCAAACTCATATTGTAAAGGAACATCAACGGGGATAGCAATGCATCTCCAGCTTCCTTCACTATTTTCGGTGATATGTCGTCGGGTCCTGTCGCTTTATTTGTTTTGAGATTAGCTAATTTTCTCTCAATGGCCAAAGGCGATAGTGCAATGTTATTGACACAGGGAACAATCTTAGTTGACGTGGCCAGGTGAGATAGATATTGGGGCTGGAAACTGCCAGTCAGTTTCTCTCCGATGTTAGAGGAGAAATATTGACTAGGTTTGATTTTTCTTTGTCATCAACTGCGAGCGATCCATCCTCTCTTTTCAATGGACCTATCGCTTTCCTTAATTTAGGGTTATTCGCCTTTGAAAGCGGGTTCCTATACTCTGCAGTGGTTTTGACATCAGCTAACAGATCTTTAAAATGCTTAGCCTTGGCTCTGCGTATATCAGCTGTGATTTCATTTCTATGCAGCCCGTTTGCTAGGATCCTTTGTCCGGTTTGCCCCTTTGAATAATTTAAATCTGCGATTCATTTTGTGCCTAATTGTGTTGTTAATCCACGGAGCAGACATACTTCTCACTTTCACTTCCTTAAACGGGGCGTGAGCATTGTATATATCTTTAAACAATTGTTCCCATCCCCAGAGTGCATCGTCTTTGTGATGAAAAATTTCCAAGATATGAAAAGGAATCTTTTCAATATCAGCCTTAAAATTCGCTGCATTAAAATTTTTAAAGTTTCTGGTGCGAATAATCTTCGGCGGTGGTCTTTTGCTTCCCAATTTAAGCGTTGCATACACTAGGCAATGGTCGGATATACCTAGTGGCATTACTCCTGTGCATCGCACAACATCCACCTTGGTGGTAACAATAAGATCAATCAGTGACTTTGTGGTATAAGCTGAATAAAGAAGCGATAATATATGTGAGCGTTAATTGCAAAAAAGGAACTTTGTTGTGATTAGGAGACGAATGACAACAATGGCATCTCGTAACGGGTTTCATAACTGTCACCACTGTATCACAGGTACCAGAAAACTATTTGTGGGCAAAGTGGATAATGAAATTTGTTATCAAAACCTGCCAACTTCGCCAAATTTGACTTTTTCGTTTAAAAAACATCGCTTTCCATATTTTGATGGCTTTCCCTGATGACCAAGTAGAGGAAATTTCTTATGGAATTTGAGGACTTCACCGACTATCTCGATCATTATTGCGGCTTTCAAAGTTTATCTGAATGATGTTACTGCCACGTTTTATGGCTTTTCCGGCCATTTTACAGAAACGCTTCGCGGTGCCTTAAGATCAGATTTTGGATTGACTTTGGCCGATTGACGGATTTTACATCTTTTGTTTGAAAAGAAATCTTAATTTGGTTGAACAGGGATAGTTTGCATTATTTCACAGCGGAATGTAGCACAGGATAACAGTGGTTTTCACGTTTTGTTATGCTAACTGACTGTGACTGTGATTTGCCAGTGTTTGTTGCACCTGTGTAAATGCATCGAAAACAGTCGGTTTGCCTATCTTCATGCTTTTTCATCATTGTCACTTCTGTGTGAAACTGTTCAATACTGTTGTTATTCACCGAAATTTTGGCTGTTATTTTTTTTCTCGAAGGATTTTCTGAATACCTGGCTACTATAGGCAACTTATTAAACGAAATGCAAAAGTTGGTATTCAGCTGTTCAAAATTTATTTTGGTGTAATTTGCGATTTTTTGGTGCTATTTTCACACCATCAGTATTCCAAAGCAAATTTCCAAGCTTCACAGATTTATGACCTAATGTTTGAAAAATGATCCGTTAATCGCTCCACTTCTTCCACCTGCGTCACATGAACAACACAGCGAAAAAGGGGAGAGCGAGAGAAGAGCGAGTTTATCACGTTGGATAGCGGCTGGAAAGAAACCGTTTGAACAAGCAAAGATGATGATCTGGCTTCGACCCACTTCCAAGCGAAGGTCACTTCTACTGGGTTGCTTTACATTACTTGTTATAAGGACCATGCTGTTTGTAGTTCACTTTTACAAAGACGAAACAGCGCGAATTCGGAGACCTGTTCCTTTGCGAGCAGGTACACAACAATCACCGGTTAAAGCTACAACTGCGAACAATTACGTCGAGTGGAGTGAAAAAGATTTTCCTTATCCTCAGCGTAAAAGGCTCATTATTTACTGGTCAGGAGTTAGAGGACATAAAGTGCCCGTTCAAAAGTCGGCCGTCAATCACACGCATTTCTGGCCGTTTTTCTTCGCGGGAAAACCCGGGGAATGTCCCGTCCTGTGTGAGTTATCCAACGACGAGTCTCGCGCCGCCGAAGCGAGTGCGTTTGTTGTCCACGCGAGACCACCGGATATCTATAATCTTCCTCCGATTGAAAATTTAGCGCCGTGGATTCTTCAAACCAATGAAAATCCCGTCTACACGCCAGCTCTGTACAATTCTAAGATCATGTCGCAGTTTAATTTGCTCATCAGCTATCGTTTAGATTCGGATTTTCCAGCGCCCATTTATCCCATGCCGGGCCTGAGTCCACCAATTCCTTTCCAGAAACGCCTGGGAAATGTTTTGGCCATCTTTTCAAAATGTGAACCCGTCAGAACAGAGTACATGCGCCAGCTTATGAATTACATTAAAGTGGATTCGTACGGCGCTTGCCTTAAAAATAAAGAAGGTTTAATAGGATTGTACGGGAAAATTGACAATCGTTATGTTTTTAAAGACCACAAGCTTATCCTGTCGCGGTATTACAAGTTCTCTCTGGTTTTTATGAACCAAGACTGTGATTATTTCATAGATGACAGGCTTTACCATGCTCTTACGACTGGCTCGGTGCCTGTATATATGGGTACAGATAAAGTAGACCAATTTTTGCCAGGAAATCTCAAGAACTCCATCATCAAAGTAAGCGATTTCAAAAGCCCAAAGGAGTTAGCGGATTACCTTAATTTCCTTAGCAACAACGAGACTGCTTATAATAAATATTTAGAATGGAAATGGAAAGGAATAGGAGACATTTCTAACACGACCATCGGTCGATGGTGGAACCCGCGATACCCACTATTTTGCCAAGTCTGTATGGCGCTAGCCAAGGGAAAGTTACACCTTGGGCTCAAGCTGGACTATTGCGAACCGCGTAAATACGAGGACTGGGGCATAAAAGAACCTAAGAATGGAAACTGGGATTATTACAGTATGCTTGTTTATGGTGGCTTTCTCTTATTTGTAGTCGTTATACTGGTATCATAGTTATAAAGGTAGAAGGAAAGAGTGTTCAAACGAGATCAAGTGGCTTGTAACAATGCTCACACGACTCGTACGTTGCGTACCGCGCGGGGAACAAGGTTGGCTACCACGAACTTTAAAAAATAATGAGAGACGGATCACAGTCTGTCGTTAGGTCAGTTACTAATCATCGTCAATCGTCAGTCGTCAGGACTAGAGAGCTCTAGCAACGGCGACGACAACGAAACCGTCAAAAAAGTAATAGGTTTAGATTAGCAAAACAACAACTCTGCAGGTGCATCACACCTTTTTGTACATTTCTTTGCCGTCACTGCACGACTACGATGAAATGCCTATCCTCGTTTTCTTTCTAAACTTAAGTGCGGTCCCCAAGAAACCAACTCGGGAACATTTGCCTACATTTGACATTTTCAGTTATTTGGAATAAACCTGACAAATTTTGAAGAAAACGCGAGTTCATTTTAAGTGTGACGTTTTCCCTGTCGTCGCCGTCGTCGATGCTAAAGCTCCCTCTTGACTGCCGCACTGTTTTGCCACGGGGTCTTATTTCTCATTTCTCTCCAGCGTTCTTCAACGTTGAGCTTAGTATCTCTTGAGAATGTGTTGGGATAAGTGAACTAGGGGTCTATTTCTCCCGTTCGTGCTTGGTGTTGTCTCCGTAGATGAACGTCAGAAGTGACCTGGATGATTTTAAGCCGTGAAGCGGTTTGATTGCCTGCACAAAAAGCTTTCCTCTGTGCCACGGTCGTGGATATAAATGGAACTCAAACCCAGCCTCGTATTCACTAAAAGGCCAGTGTGCTAAGCGCACAACTTACTGTGAGGTTAAAAAGGGGTTGACTTAAGTTTTTATCAGTAATAGTGCCGGGACAAGGGCTACGCTGTTATAAGCAACATAGTCAGATTGCAAACAGGATTTGGGTGCTTAGGAAATAATTTAGCTATAATATTGCCATTCACAGTCTTTGTATTTTGCTTAGTTTTGTCATAATAAACTTTTTCTTACTTTTGAGTCTTTCTGTTTTTGGTAGTTGCTTTTTATTTTGAATTACATTTGTGTATCAATTCTCCTATAACTCAACTGGCTTTTATATATCTTACCACCAGATTATATTTTTGTTTCGCTTTGTCCCTGTATAAGAATACAAAAGTTCTCAGGTTGACTGTTGTAATTTTTTTTCAGTCTGCTTGGCAGGTGCTAGCAGGCACATGAGCCCCTGACGGGTCCCGTCCCCGTCTGTCTCTGCCTCGTTCCCAGACGTCTCTCTCGCGATGAAAGTCACTCGCTTTGCGCGCTCGCCTCTGTTTGCGACCAAAGAAGGAGGCAGTTCCGCTTCCAAAAGATCTGATAAATGACTAAAACTTGAAAATGCCCTGTGTTGCAGGTTTGAGCCTTGAGTTAGCATCAAGAGCCATATGGCTCTTGGTTAGCATACCGTTTTTCAGGTTTTGAAAAATCCGCCACAACGTAGCGTAACGCATCGGGAGAGAAACGGCTAAGGAGTTTTAAACACAATGTACTTCATTTTAGAGATGCAACTCAGCGTAAAGATTGACAATTGCATAAGAAATCCCTTTGGTGGACGAACTTCAGCTACAACTTAACCTGGTTCTCAAAAAGTGTAGCATGTAATACACCGTACAAGGTGAGCTAGAATTCCCCAGATGGTTCTTTTTTGTCGGCCCGTTGCGCCTCGCAGTCGGGGATTCGCCACGAACCATTTAGGAAAAAAAAAAACAACGCCTCTGGCACCAAGAGTAACTTCAAGCCTGTATTTACGACGTGTTCTATTGACCGTATTCTGCAATGCTAAAAGAATACATGAAATAAACCCTAGAAAACATTTACTTTGGCAGTCATTGCTTTACAATTTCTAGAACTCTGTATGCGATACTGAAATATTCTGACGTACATGTATGTAACGTTTAGGTGGTCCAAATATCACGGTACAGGAGAGATTAATAACAAAACTGTTGCGTATATCCTTATTCCGTAGTTAATACTATCATCGAACGTGCCCTTAAGAAAAAGAGACCGGAGATCGACTGGCGAGAGCCTAAGTGGATGCTATGATTTGCGCCAAGTTCTAACAGAAAGTGGGACTGGTTCATATAATAACAGAGATACCGTAAGATTCCGAAAATAAGCCCTGGGGCTTATATTTTTCAAAGGCCCTCTTTGAGGGGCTTATTTTTGGAGGGACTTATATTCGGAGGAGCTTATCTAAGGAGGAAAATTTGCGTTTCAAAATCGATTGGGCTAGCTTTGTAGTTAGCAGGAAATTTACCGTTTTTGCTTTGTTTTACTTTGTAATTGAGGGCAATTTCCAAGTACAAGCCCCTGGGGAAGCTTATATTTGGAGGGGTGATTTAACGGAGGGTTTTTTGCGTTACGACTTTGGGGGGCTTATACATGAAGGGGCTTATTTTCGGAATTTTACGGTATGGTAGATGGTAGATATGAAAGATATAAAACTAAATACTTAAGAGGCCCTGCCAGGGGGGGGGGGGGGGGCTCTTTGGCCCCGTGTTACATTTTAAAAACACGGGGGGGGGGTTTTATAAATTTTTTTTCTTTTTTTCGGCTTTTCGCGCCCCTTTTCCGTTTTGGCGGGGGGGGGTTGGTTTTGTTCGGATTTCCTTTTTCCCGTTGCTGCGGATTTTTTGAAAGATATAAAACTAAATACTTAAGAGGCCCTGCCAGGGGGGGGGGGGGGTCTCATGTCGCCCGTCTGAACTTTAAAACTGCTCGTGTCGGTGTTTATAAATGCTTTTCGCTTATTATCGGCTTTGCCGTCACTGTCGCAGTTTGGCCGAGGGAGGTTGTCTCTTGTCGCGATTTCATTTTACGCGTTGTCGCTACTTTTTGGGCCATGTCGCTTGTCGGAATTTACCCTGGCAGGCCTCACTTAAGATATGAAAGCTGGAAAAGCAAATTCATTCACGGTAAGTTACATTCTCATGTCCACAATTTGATGATTTGATACTCGAAAAAGTATATAGAAAATTATCCGAGAAAATTTCTTCGATCGAAAGGAAACGAAATTAAAATTTAACCTTTGGTTAGCGCTTGAACAACTGGGGAACGACACCCGGCCCTCTTGTTCCAAATCAAAGACGGCGCGAAGGCTAAAACGCGCCATTTTTCTATCCTCGATTTTGACAGGGAGGGGTCGGGGGTAGAATTTTACATCTACGTTTGCCTTCTCTCCCAACCCCAATTTACACAGGTTTGATTCAGTGTTTTGAAATGGTGAATATTAATACTATCCATGGAATAAATCTCCATCCAGTGGATAACACTATTGCTCTCACTCGGACTTATCAGTTCTGAACAGTGATTTTTCCTATGGATAGCGCCGTACAATTCTCCAACATCTAGGGAGGGAGAAAACACACGCAGTACACTACCCTTCCCTCTCCTGCCCCTCGGGTTTTCTCCACAAACAATAGAAAAGCTGAAGATAAACGGCGGAAGGACCACGCAGGCACTGAAAAGTCTCAACTGCATTTTTAGTTTGCACTTTACCGCTGAACCATAGTTATCTTTTGAGGCGGCAAGATCAGAGAAAGTAAATGAACAATTGAGTCCTGGTCAAAAAATTGTTTATTTGGTTTGTCGCTCAAAACACTGGGATGACGGATCAAAGCATAGGAAGGGGAAAATTTGCTGGTTTGTTACTTCTTTTGCAAGGGTTGCTGTTAATTTTGTTCGTAGTTTTCGTTGGTTACAGCGAGGAACTCCTTCCAGATGGCGAAAATGAGACAGAAACCGACTCAAAATATTCCGGTGAGTGCAATTTACATTATGACGCTTCGAAAAGTGAATGATAATGAAACGGAAATGAACATCTTTTACTTTTTTATCTTCTTCTTCAGTATTTGGGGGACTGCACCTAATGCTTTTTGCTGGATTTGGCCTACTATTAACATTTCTGAGAAAATATGGATTCAGTGCGATGGGTTATAATTTTCTTATTTCTGCTCTGGTGATCGAGTGGTCAACTATCATGCAAGGATTTTTTGAGATGCGCAACAATACAATTTCTATTGGATTGGAAAGGTATTAAGCAATAAAATGATTAGCTTTATATCCTTGATACAGGAACGTATTTTTGTTGTTTCAGTTGGAGAAAAGAATTATTTGATTAGTTACATACAGATTATTTTCGGTTTATAACATGTCCCCCACTGAACCTCCCTACACCCCTGATTGACCTGACTGCAAAGATGAAAATTAAGAAAGTGGAAGGGTAGTATACACAGGTTGTAAATCCACAACTCCGTTATGAATTAGTAACCAGATTTTGCATTAAAATCTCACTCTGAATCCGAAATCCGAGCAAAAATAATTTAAAAACATCCAAAGTCCAAAAGCTAGGCCCAAAAAGTGGATGAATTCACAACCCACTGCATGCAATTGCCCGATCTGCAAATCCGGTAAATTTTTGCTTGGAATCTGAAATCCGGGCAAAAATATTTACAAAATCTGTTCATCCGTTAGAATGGCTTTTTCACCCCCTCTGCTACTAAGTAGTTGGAGCAACTTTAGAATCCTCGGACACCCCAGTGCAACATTAATGAGGACCCCGTAGGATAAAATTCCAACAAGCAACATGGCCTTGAAGCAGCAACACAAGAATAGATGAAATGGTGACAAACAACATCAAGATGGGATAAATACTGACAGGAGGGATGTGGGGATTTGTGGTCAGTTGTGGTGTTGCTAATATTTTTGTGCGGTATTGCGGTGAATAATATCCCCATCTTGTGGTCAGCTTGCAGTGACTCAAACCGTACGGTGTGCGGTGTTTCTGATTTGATACTCGGTGAAAAGCAATAACTTGCGGACCCTTTGTGGTGTTGTGGTTTATTCATTGACTGTGGTTACCACAAAACGAGGAACACTAAGAACATTGAGACTTGAATAAAAATCTCCCTTTTTACTTTATGTTTTCAATGATGAGTTCATCCTGCAAACGGGCCAAGTGTCAGTGGCTGCAATACCAAGGTCATTGAGCCTACGACAGAGTGCATACACGCCAGCGTGCATTTCTTCATATCTGCATGACTGAAATGGAATTCTTAGAATCTTGAGGTCTGAGTCTGAGTCTCTGCAAAAACAAAACCAGTTCCGAAATCCTCTTCCCACCCAGTTATATGGAGATAAATGGATTAGATTAATCATAGGACAAAAATTAAATTGCAATGTCGGTGTTTCCTTTACTTTTTTGGTACTGGTGGGGTGTTTGTTATTTTTTCTGCGGTCTTGCAGTGTTGACAGTCCCCTAATGTCCCCCTCTGACAGGGACATGGCCTGCTCCTCAGATGCAAAATGAACGTATTTATTCTCCTAAGAGGGCCTCATTAATAATTACGTCATTACTCCCATGGTGTAGTAGGCATCAAGTTAATTGTGTTTTCAGTTCCCGCTCCCACATAAAATCACATTTGACCACTAGTCAGCAGTCCTACATTACAGTCCTGTCGTTGCATGATAAAATCTACAGTTAAGCAGAACGACTTCTCCTGATAGCCTCACAGTCCACTAGTCAAAGAATCCCTTCATCAGAGAGAGTTTGACACTGTATTTATTTACAAACTTATCATTAATTTATTTGAGTTTGCCACTCACTGTTATTTTTATTATTTTTTGTAGCATGATCAAAGGTGACCTAGCAGCTGTAGCCGTAACAGTCTCATTTGGTGCATTACTTGGTAAAACAAGCCATCATCAGCTACTTGTCATATCTTTTATTGAAGTTGTTATTTACTCTGTAAACAGAGCTATAGCTACCAAGTTCCTCCATGCAGTTGATGCTGGTGGCTCATTTTTTGTTCATGCATTTGGCGCTTACTTTGGTTTGGGAGTTTCTCGTGTATTGTACACTCAAAGAGCTGTAGCCCACGACAAAGAAATTTCCAGATATACCTCTGATCTTTTTGCAACATTGGGTGAGTTATACAAAAAATAGAGTTCTCAGCAATATTTTTGGAAATACAGTAGAACCCTATGAGGGGGCTGTAGAAACTGTGTATATTGACAGGGAGTGACTGCACAGTGTTAAGGGGGCATGTCAATTCAAATTTAAATTTGAACAAAAAAAAGGATCTTTAGCATTGTCAAATTAATCATCCCTAACTTTCACAAAAAAAAACCCTTCAGTCTGATATTGACATCTATTCTATCCTATCCGGTGTAACGTAGTGTTTGGAAAATGGACAAAACCTTCAAGAAAGAAAGAAACGAAACTGCACCTCTCTTTACTATTTGCAATAGCAGAGATGCCAACCTCTGGAGATCTAAAAACTCGAGACTCCCTATTTCGCACTACACCCTACCGCGCTTCAAATGTCAACAGCCCCACCACCCCCCACCCCCTCACCCACAAATTGACCCAGTGGCCATGACCTGGGACCTTATATGAAGTCAAAATTTGCTTTCATCATTGTAATGATGAAATAATCTGTCAGTGACTGCATGTAAAAATGTCCCAGAAACCACACAATGAATAAAAAAAAGGTTGAATTTTGAGGGGATAAAATGGGCTAAATTTCAAACTAAAGCACACAAAAGCTCAAAAGTCCATTTTATCTGTAAGATTTGTTGACACATACAAGAGGGCGGGAGATCAGTGCAGTATCTGGGAGACTCCTGATGATAATCCGGGAGAGTTAGCATATATGCAATAAAATAACATTAGAATTTAAAATGATATCATTGGGAAGCTCGATCTTGATTCCTGTCGGTTTCTCTTTGTACTTGGTTGTGGTCTTAACAAATCTATGACTTGATCAATAGCATTCTCCCAAAACCATGAAATTAAAATCCTCCTGTAATATAGCATCAACATTTCTGTGAGAATAAGAACAGGTTTTTTTTTAATTATTATTTTGCTTTAGGAACAATCATCTTGTGGGTTTGCTGGCCAAGTTTCAATGCTGTTCTTGTTGAAGGAGTGGCAAGTCACAGAGCCATCGTCAACACCTACTATGCATTGGTAACTAGCTGTGTAACCTCATGTGCCTTCTCATCTCTTATGACAAAGGAATCAAAGCTTAGCATGGTAAGTTTTATAATTATTTTATTTGAAATGTTACTTAGATTATGAGATTGTTACACTTAGGGTAAATGGCACACTCTGCTTTTGGAAGCATACCACCAAAACTCAAAAGTAAGAATGGAAGGCAAAATATAGAATTTTTTAAAACATTAAGCAAAATGCTCATGCTCATAACAGTCTGATACCTGATAGAATTCCAGTAAGACACAAGTTGGCCTGTCTTGCAATATTCTTCACTGGGGTTTAGGTCAAGCAAGTGGTTATTCCACTCATTGTGATTAGTCAATACAGACATCTCAGTGCTGGAACTCAATCAAATTCACTCTGACCTGTGCTTTTACATGCAGTCTTTGAATTTGTGAGCTCATAACTTCTGACTCTCACAGGCCAGAAAAAGAGGCCTAAGAGCTAATTTAGACCTGAAATAAAAATATATTTTGAATTCAATACAGGACAATACTTCCCTTGCATGGTAACAAAGGTTAAGAAATGAGCCTAATAATTCAAAAGTCAAAAGCTAAAACACTATGTATATCATGCAGTTATATAAAATACTTAAGTTGGCATAATTTGTAATTCTTTTAAGTTGGCATCTGTTTCACCAGACATCTATAATTTTTGCCAACAGATGCAGATGCAGCTGCTATAATAATTTTCTTAAAATGAATTTACTTAATATTTTGTTCATTTGTTCACTAGGTTCACCTCCAAAATGCGAGTCTGGCTGGAGGCGTTGCCATGGGCACAATTGCACCCATGATAATTCATCCATGGGGTGCAGTTCTGATTGGATTTGTTAGTGGAGCAATTAGCACAACTGGTTTTACGTACATACAGGTATTAAATTTAATCTCAGTTTTCTTAGCCTGTATACAGCCCCCAACTATCTTCAAACAAAATCGGGTGGGGGGGGGGGGGGGGGGGGGGAGCCCTTCTCCCCGTTTTTTGTTTGGGGGGGGGGGGGCGGGGAGACCACGGGTGAGACCCCCGGACCACCNATTTAAAGACTCAGGACGGTTAGACTTGACTTTTTTTAATTCTCACCAATTGTCTCAAGGCACTTACATTCTGGGAACAAGTGAGGGTTTTGGGAACAAAAATCGCTTATTGCCAAATTTGTTATGCTTAACGAAGAAGTTGTCTTTGGGAAGCTTTGATCTAGCAGGGGCACCCAACGAGGATATAGTTCAAAACCACATAAACATAGCATTGTTGAACCTAATTTAGTATTTAAACGATAGATAAAGGCTTATTTTTATCCCCTAAAAATTTTTCATCTGTTCGGATTTCCTAGCTGAAAGTATAGTGATCCGAAAATTATAGGGATCAAAATTTACCTTTTCGAAAATTTCAGCCGGAAAAAAGGCTTCCGAATATTCTAGGTGACCTTTTTAGGGCAAAAATCTGTTAAAAATGAGCAATTATACCATTTTTTTGATGTTCGAAAATCCTAGGAGAGGCAGGCAAGCAAGAAATTTTACAGAAAATGATCCGAAAATTCTAGATCTCAAATCGTTTTCCGAACAGATAATTTTCCGAAAATTATTTTTGGGTGCCCCTGATTTAGGAGCTGAACCGTTCATGTTGTTAATCACGAGTCAAGGTTTTAAATGTATTAGGTCCTCCGTGTGAAAAATTTCATGGTCTGAATTAACAGCAAAATTTTCGCACCATGCAACCAAAGCAGGAAAATCAGCGGACTCATGTCATGTCAAAATAGCCGTTCTTAATTGATTCGGACAGCAAACGTTTCCTGTGTTTACCAGCAATGCAATGTACATTAGGTTAGACTCATGATTAGTTTGGTGTCAAAACTCGGCCTAACGTTTGCGGCATTGAAATTATCTGTCTTTGAGTTTGAAGACTTAGGAAGATGTTCTCATAGTTTTCAAGAAACCTGTGACTGCATACAGGGAGGTTACCATTTAACAAGTCACTTATATTTTAGCCATGGTTAATCAAGAGGCTTCGAGTTCACGACACGTGTGGTGTAAATAGTTTGCACGGAATTCCTGGCATCCTTGGTGCAATTGCTGGAGCCATATCTGCAAGTATTGCAAACTATACGAATTACAAGACAAGGTACTGAGTTTCTTTTGCCTTTTAGAGGTGGTGAATGGTGGCCTTTTGAGACCATAGCCAGCATTTATCTTTGAGTCCGAGATAATTTGACTGTTTTGTCAGACATCCCAAGACTCTCAAACATCTTCAATCTATGTTTCATTCCTTTCACGGGTTAAATCAGGGGCACCCAACGAGAATATAGTTCAAAACCGCTTAAACATGGCATTGTTAAACGTGTTTTAGTATTTAAACGGTGGATTTGGGCAGATTTTTATCCCCTATAAATTTTTCATCCATTCGGATTTTCTAGCTGAAAGTCTAGTGATCCGAAAATTATAGGGGTCAAAACTTTCCTGTTCGAAAATTTCAGCCAGAAAAAAGGCTCCCGAAAATTCTAGGTGACCTTTTTAGGGTAAAAATCCGTTGAAAATGGGCGTTTTTACCTTTTTTTAGATGTTCGAAACTCCTAGGAGAGGCAGGCAAGCAAGAAATTTTACAACAAATGTTCCGAAAATTCTAGTACTCAAATCGTCTTCCGAACAGATATTTTTCCGAAAATTGTCGTTGGGTGCCCCTGTTAAATGAACCAGGGGCACCCAAGGAGAATATAGTTCAAAACCACTTAAACATTGCATTGCTCAACGTATTTTAGTATTTAAACGGTAGATGTAGTCATATTTTTATCCCCTAAAAATTTTTTATGTGTTCGGATTTCCTAGCTGAAAGTCTAGTGATCCGAAAATTATAGGGATCAAAACTTACCATTTCTCGATAATTTCAGCCAGAAAAAAGGCTCCCGAAAATTCTAGGTGACCTTTTTAAGGTAAAAATTGGTTAAAAGTGGGCAATTATACCATTTTTTAGATGCTCGAAAATGCTAGGAGAGACAGGCAAGCAAGAAATTTTACAGCAAATGTTCCGAAAATTCTAGGTCTCAAATCGTCATCCGAACAGATATTTTCCGAAAATTGACGTTGGGTGCCCCTGATAAACTCAACAAATTGCCCTGCTTTTAATGTATGGGTCCTCATAGCTCAGTTGGTAGAGCACTGCAGTGCTAATGCATACTGGCCGTGGGTTTGTATCCCATTGAAACCTAGAATTTTTTTCAGGCATAATTTGCAGTTGGTTAAATTGCGATTACAACTGCAGTGGTCATATTTTCATTTAGATTTGTATTCCCACAGTTCATACAATTCTTGAAAATGTTGTAAAAAATTTAATGGAGGCTTGAAGGTGTCAATGAGTGATGTAAAGTGCAATTACCAGCAACTTTCTAAGAAATTTCCTTGTCCTTTAATCATAATGACAGAAATCGAATTACAAAGTTGGAGTTTTTTAAATAAGAAGCATGCGTTGTGCGGAAAGCCTAAGCATTTGCACCAATCTTTGTTTGTTTCAATTAGCTCATGCTTCGTATGAAAACATGAGCTTCCATTGTCTATTTAGAGCTTAAGAAAGTAGGGGAAAGCATTTTTGGTGAAGACTGATAAATACTTGACGTAAACGTTTTGTTTTACTGCGTATTGTTTTTTGGTTTGTTTGTTTTCTTTTTAATATTCATCTGTACATAATATCGTTCAATTTTGACAGTGCGATTTTCTCTTCTTTTTCTTTTTCAGTCTTTACACAATTTTTCCAGCCAGAGCACCAGTGCTGAATAGTACCCAGTACTTTGAGTTGGTCAAGTTTAACCCACAAGCTTCAGATGGCCTGAAATGGACTGCAGACAAACAAGCCGTATTTCAGTTAGCTGCTTTAGTTATAACATTAGCGCTGGCGATATTCGGTGGCCTTCTTACTGGTAGGCTGTTTATTATGGTCCTTCACCATATCGCTTTCTATATAGAGACATGCCACCTGATAAGACAATAATTAAAATGGCATCCCTTTGCTTTTCTGGGACGTCATCAGTTGGCTTTCCTCACGCTTTTGATAAGCGAGAAAAGCTGAATATTTCGAGATCTTTTTTCATTAAGTTTCCCCATCTACCACTCTTCAAAAATCGGCCCCGTAAACTCGGCACTGCATATTTTTTTGGGGTTGGGGAGGGGGGTGGGGGGGGGGGTGGGGTGTTGGGCAATATACTGGTTTTCTTCGGATAAAATCGACCAGACCAAACAAAAGTAACTCGGTTCCCCTAAACGACCACAGAACGCCGTAGCTTGTACGAATTCACTAGACATGGTTTATAGATTGACGAACTGACAGCTTTCACTTTAATCATCAACGTTGTTGAACTCCTGCTCGCCCTCAAGCTCTGATGGCAGAACATGCAATTCTTACTGTTAAGGTTATTGATTTATTTTCAGGTATCATTGTCAAGCAGCCGTTCTTTGATCCCCTGAAGGAGGAAGCCTTATATGATGATGGGGAATTCTGGGAGGTAGGTTAGATTAAAGCCAATACGATACGTTTGCCTTAAGGGGCGATGATCAATGTCGTTTTGTTCTCGTTGAACAATTTACTCCGAAAGCCAGACGTCAGTGAAAAAGCCTGGAAGTTGGTGAGTAGTATAGGGCGCATGAATTTGACCCCCTTTTTAATTTAAAGCGGAATCTTCATTAGAGTGAGGTGAAATAAATTGTCGACGAATGAAGGCATGAATATAAGGCGAAGGCACTTCATAAATATAGAGTGATATCTTGTTCATGGCAGGTATGTCCTGTTGTTGACGAAATTTGATTTGTTTTCTCGATCGATTGACGGTTGGACTCATTTGATGAAGCAGTTTGTTTGGGTTGCTAACCCTTATTGCACAGAAATCTCTAAACCTTTACGTAACTATGTGGGATTTTTTTGTTTCTCTTTTCTTTTCACTCTTTTCGCATTCATTGTCCATAGCAGCCAACCAAGGCCAGCGAGTCCGTTAACATCTGTAAACGCAGTCGTATAGTAGTTTACGCATGTATTTGTAAATCCCGAGTGTCAAAGTTCGAAAGCGGCTCTAAAAGGTTTCAAAAGGTGTCATTTTCCAGGACATCTTAAGGTAAGGTAAAACGGACAACAATAACGAATGCAACTTTTTTTGCAACATTGCTGCAAAACGGGTTGAATACCGACGTTGCGCGTTTTTCCACCTACATCAAATCTGTTTTGCAACAAATCAGGTTGTTCACGGGTTTGAACAAGGGTGGTAAAACGGGCAACATCGCCTTTTTTGCCAAACAAGTTGCACGTTTTTTTTTTGCGCGTTTTACCTAAGCCTTAGAAAGATACCGTCACACTGATTTGGCAGATCAGACATGCGGTTTTCTTTATCTGAAGGTTCCCAGTGATTTTCGTGGATTGTCTGATGAAGTCCGTCCCAGAACCAGGAGCGAGGTTCCGCGAGAGCAGAATGAATTGTTAGTTCGAAGGGAAGAGAATGAAGTGGAGGAGCAAGATGGACAGGCAGATGGACAAGTATGATCAATCACATACCCAGACCATCTGAGTATTTTATAGTCATCGTTCCTGCCAGTTATGGAATCTGGTAAAACTTTTGAATTTTAATATTTATTCCAGGGCCCGGAGAAAGGTACCTAAAATTTTTCATTTTCGAGTTACCTAAAGCCTCTTCATCAAAGCGAGGCTTGGTGCACAATCGTTCCGTCGTAACATTGGTTTTTTCTCATGTGAATGAAAACTTACTTTTGCGTGAAAAGTTGACTGAAGACCAAGGCTGGCTTCGAAAAAGAGGCTGAAGTTAATTCAGAAATGGCCTGGTGTCCTATCTACTGTGGGAAAACGCCTTGAATTTCAAGGCGCGTTAAAACTACAGAAAAATTGGTTCGGGACCAGTCAAAAAAATGGTACAGTACCAGTAACTTTTAATGAATGTCAAACCGAGGGTTCCTTTTATTCTTGTTCCGGAATATGGTCAATCGAACACTCCCTTTATAGTCAGTACTTGAAAATGGTGTACTTCTTAGGGGCACCCAAAGAGAATATAAGTTCAAAACCACTTAAACAGAGCACTGTTAAACGTATTTTGGTATTGAAAGGTAGATATAGGCATATTTTATCTCCTAAAAATTTTTCATCTGTTCGGATTTCCTAGCTGAAAGTCTAGTGATCCGAAAATTATACGGATCAAAACTTATCTTTTCGAAAATTTCAGCCAGATAAAAGACTCCCGAAAATTCTCGGTGATCTTTTTAGGGTAAAAATCCATTAAAAAAGGGCAATTATACCATTTTTTAGATGTTCGAAAATCCTAGGAGAGGAAGGCAAGCAAGAAATTTTGCAACAAATGTTCCGAAAATTCTAGATCTCAAATCATCTTCCGAACAGATATTTTCCGAAAATTGACGTTGGGTGCCCCTGACTTCAGGGTCGTGGAATTTTCGTATTTATTCCCTGCAAATCTTCTGGAATTTTTCTCTCTCTCAGTAGTACGAGCTAGGTTAATAATACTGTTAATATATTTATACAGTTTATTATAGATATTTTAATGACATAAATGTATTGCAGATTAAAATATTATATTTAGAGAAGTTAAATTATTAATACATAGAAAAAAGCCGTTATATTTCGTCCGAAGGGCGCAATGCAAATGCTGAGAACTGCAGGACTTTCTTAGCTCAAAATTTACATTTAGTATTTTTATCTGAAGTTTAGGCCACTAAATTTTTTAAGTCTTGCATTTTTATGAATTCATCTTTGGGTTTTCCAGTATGCGAATATCAAGGAATTCACCATCTCTCTGGAGAACTGAAACGTTCGTAAAATTGTGCCAATTTTCACTCGTCATAATAGAAAGGGTTTGTGAACAAGGTTTTATTAGGTAAATAACAGTTTGAAACTAATTTTAAAGCCACTTAAGTCAATTTTTGTAATAAAAGAATTTTTTATTTAAAGACAGTTGAAAAGTTAAAGGTATTATTTTAGTTGTCAGATCATTTATAGAGATTGGTGCAGTCTTAAAAGAGATTAACAATCCAAATAAATTTAATTGCAATAAATTTATTTTTTTTATTTACCTCACTAGTTTTGTGTTGTTGTCCTTTTTTGCTGGTGTTTTTGTTTTATTTGGAAAAATGACTAAAAATGCTGTTTTCCTCCATTTAATCAAACTCGGAGCAGAAGCCTCTTAAACTGTAGCAGCGTACCTACAACGCTTTCGATTTAAGATGGAGTCTGACTAGGCGAATTATAACACAGTTGTACATCGGGTATCCAAGGTGTGAACACTGCACCATTTTGTGCTGGCACTATGCAGGCACTAGTGCTCGGGCACCTGGTGTGAACAGCCCTTAAAGGTTCGTTTCTTTTGGGAGAGGTGGTTTTTGCCGTTTTCTTTGCTAAAATTTAATCGAAAGAATCCACACGCCGAATAGAATCATTAGACCAAGAGCTTGAGTTCAGCGAAGAGCGCTTGGATTCTGTTCTAGATAGATTCGCCTTGGCTCTTAGTTCTTTAAGACGGTTACCGTAAACGTTCGAGAGAAACGACCCTCGTTAGTTTCAGAAAGGGCTCGCTTCTCTGGGAAGGTCCTCACCTTCGGGGATAAAAAAACTTTACATCTGAAAGTTGGCGCGACTGAGCTCTCTTACCGAAATAAAAGACGAAAAGTCGTAACAAAATATTGATAAAAAATTAGATGAATCCCACCATTCCTCCAATCTAGTTTCCAGAGTCCACGTTACCCTTATCCAGCGGAACGGGCAAGGTCGACGGCAACGGGAACAAAAAAAGGACATCTCTGCACGCCTTTTTGTACATTTCTCTGCCGTCCTTGCAACAACTACGACGTGAAATGACAAATTTTGAGTTGACTGGAGAAAGGGAACGGCAGGCCGATAAATTTTGCTCTCTCTCTGAACTCGGACGCGTTCCCCTCTCTTCAGTTCCGACCTAAATTCCTTACTTTCAATTAAATGGGTGACTTGGTATAAGGGCGAAAAAGTTTCAAAGAACGCGAAGTCAATTTTTCAGCGACGTTTTCATTGGCGTTGCCGTTGTGGGATCGTAAGGTCCTATTCCTTCGTTGCAGGTGGAAAAGAATGCATAAAAGGAAATAGGAGACGTCAGCACACAGCCTACCCCGCAGACTCTTGAAACGAGTCAGAATGTCTAACCTCTATTCCTCAGTGGTCGGCACAAGTTTTTATTCGCAGTTGTTCTCTGACCCCTTAAAACCTCCTTTCTTGATATTTTTTTTTTCGCACTTTCCTGAACCCACATACCCTGAACAAAGTCAATACATACAAGGGAACTACACGTTGTAATTTTATTTCTATTTAAAAATCTATAAAATCTTAAACTTTGAGTATACTCTTTCAGTCATTTAATTATAATACCTGATCGTCAGAAATATTCTATCGTCCTTAAAAGTACTGACCGATTTATTTCACGTTAATTTATGAAAATGAAATGTCAAAGAAATTACAAAATTAAAAAAACCATTTACAAAGAAATTATTATATCCACTGTAGTCAAACAAACCATTAAGTTATTCTAACGTAAGTTTCCAATCGACATCCAAATTCAAAATTTACAAATGCAGGGTGCTAACGTGAAAACAAAAAAAAAAACAGTACATCATTGAGTGTTAGGGCCTGTTTACATGGAGTGGGGGACCCCGGTCTAGTGGGGTAAGTTTCTTTTGTTTTCACGCTCTGGGGGACACAAAACAAAAGAAACCTACCCCACTAGACCGGGGTCCCCCACTCCATGTAAACAGGGTCTTAGTCACTGTCCAGGTTAACAAACAGTAAGATTTCATTGACACCTTAACCAAACAAAGTAAAATGGCGATTTCACTTCACAAAGAAACCATCTCTCACCACAGGGTAAAAACATGCACATGCGAATATTTGTTCACATTTTTGCCTCATTAGCATATGCTTTCATTCTCTGATCAAGTTATTAAAATAAACTCTGAATATCGAAAGAGCATAACAATTTTAGTTATCTGTGAAAATTTGAGCCCAATATACCGAATGGTTTCGGATAAATTATCTTTGAAAAACTCGAAAATTAACAAAGAATGTCTGGGCTCATTAAAGTTTATACGTTTATTAACGTGCATACCGTGACGCTTTCTATCGGTTAACTTATATGCTAATGAGCAAAAATGTAAACTATGACGTCAGCAAAGATTCGCCTACATGTTATTTCAGTATCATGCACTCTGATTATCATTATTTATGATTATTATTAGTTATCATTATGTTCTTCTAAGGAAAGCTTTCAAATCCCCACATAGAACCCATAATATTACTGTCCTGGGTAATCTGACAAAGTAGATATAATGTTGCATATTGGGATATATAGAGGTGAGATAAATCGGTAGGACTCCCTGTCCACACCCGTCCCAATTGCGTAATTAATTATGAACCCAAACCCTTGCCATTCCAAAAAAAAAATGGAGTCGGAGCAAGCCCGCAAATTCTAATGGACCAAAGCATTGATAATAATCGCTAATATATTTCTGATCAACTTCAGTGCTAACAAGTAAAGGTCAGAAAGGGCCGTTTTTGCAGCACGTACGTGAACTCTGAACAGGGCCTCAAGCCCGACAGTTCCCATCTTTCATGGCATGTTCATTGGTAATTCTTGCTGACGTATTTTCGATAAACATCAACACTGACAGACGAAGGCCAAAAACGTCCATTTTTTCCAGCGTGTATATAAGCCGTATACAAGGCCTCTGATGGTCGATCTACTGATGGCGGGCTCACTTTGCGATTACAGTCCAGAGTAAAGGGTTTGTGCACAGCCCTAAGAAAGAAAATACCGAGTTCGGTGCGTTTCAACTCTCTAGCATTCTTTGTAAAAGGCAGACACTTTTTCCGAGAGCAATGTAGGAACTGTTAAGCCAGTAACACAGGGTTTAACCTGCGAACAAGCTCGTCATTAAGAGGGGCAAAAAGCAAACCAGAGCTGCGTGAGGTTCTCTTCCCCTCCTCGCGTGTGCTCGCGTGTGACTTCACACGATATCCCCTAAATGAAGAGCTTGCTCGCAAGCTACACACGCTTCAAAAGTCATTGATCAACAAATGTTGCAGCTGTATTTCCACAAATGTTGAACTCTGGATTATGGCATGTTGAAGTTGAACAATGTTGAGCGAAGACAGGAATGGGCTCCATTCCGTTCAACAAGGATGACAATGGAACCAGGAACGTCAACAAACATGAGTTTGCGTTCTGTCAAACTCTATTGCGTTTATTTCGCGTCCATCAATTTTTCAAATGTTGGCCAATTTTCTTAGAGTTTCATTCTTAAGGACTCTATTCAGTCAGGTTCAGAAAGAGAAACAAACATTCACTTCCCCCATAAAACGTTGCATCACGAAGTTTCACGTCTTATGGTACGTTCACACGGCTGACCGGAAGAATTTTTGACTGGTTGAAAATTTGTGCGTTTAGGCGTCCCTTCCTAACACCACCTTAACCGTACGAAAATTTAGACGTCCAGCCGCCTCAAAACAAAACGAGGTAAAATTTTCAGCCAGTACGGTCGAATCGCCGTTTGTGGCCTGCGAGCAAACTCTCCTATTTGGGCGAGTGAAACGAGTCTCGCGAGAACGCGCTCGCTTCGCTTGCCTAAATAGGAGAGCTTGATCGCAGGCTACGCCGATTGAGTCATTCATCGCCTTTATAAGGTACAGTCAAACCTGTATTAAGCGCCTGTTCGATTTAGTTGGATATCTCTCCAGTCGGAATTCAATGTAAGACCACTTGCCGTTAATTTACCACCACACCTCCTATCCAAAATCAGTTTCAAAGTAAGTATAGCATCTCCCGTAAGATTCCATCCGATCTCAGTATTGTGGCTAGCCTTTTGGAGAGGCCCTATTATACTTTCCAAGACAACTTTGTTGACCTTGAAAAATCCTTCTAAACAACGCAGATGCTTTTACCAACACCATTTATTTTAATTGCTTACCAATTATAATGAATATGTTTAACGCCAGGGTGTTCCTTATCAGGAAGAGCTGTTTTGCCAAACTGAACAAATCTACGAAATAAATGAATGAATAAAGAAAATGGAAAAAAAGAATAAAATGAATAAATGGAAAAGAAAGGTGTTAAAGTGGTTCTGGGACGATAGTTCAATACATTTTGTTTAAGCCCTGTTCACGTATTGAGATATTTTTGAAAACTGAAATCTCCGTTTTGGAAAAGTATCCGGATGCGTTATCTTTTCGATAACTCGCTATGAAACCGAATGGTGGTGGAGAAACTAACATTACATTTCAAAGTTACAAACAACAGTCTTCAACTTTGAAAACCTGTTTAGCTAAACAATTTTGAAAACCGCGTTTTTCTGCACCTCTGTCCATCCGTGCCATTGTTTGTATTTGCTGGGTTATCTAAAGGTTCCTTCACTGTTTTTAGTGCTTATTTTCATATTTCACGCAGTTGGTGGCCAGTTTCTTATGGTTGAACTGAATATGGATAAAATGCGGGACATAGCTTCAAGATACTCATCCTTAGTCTCTGTCAGTGAGCCAGTCTGTCATAAGGAACGCGGTATATCACCACAAGGCATGTGCAGACAGTACCTTTCATAATCCTTCATATTTTCCCTCTTGGGGTCTTCTAGTTCAACTCCATACACATCTTTCATAGAGGGCAGCAACTCCTGTCAAGCGTATAACGAAGAGAAACATAAATTAGTGATAAAATGCAAATAAACAGGGTTCTTTTTTTTGCTGAATATAACTTAGGGCCTGTTTACATGAAGGTGGGGGACCCCAGGTAGGTGAGGTAACATGTGACGGGTTACCCCACCTATCATGTAAATGTGATCACATTAAAAGGAGAGATTGTATGGACAGGCGGGTTACCCCACCTAAGCGGGTTACCTCACCTACCTGGGGTCCCCCACCTCCATGTAAACAGGCCCTTAGGTCGGAAGATCCATATTGGGAGACTTAATGAAGTTTATTGAATTGAAGCAAACAAGATCGCCCTTTCTTACATTAAAGTCTTCGGTCTATGCTGTTCTGGTTTCACGATTCCCTACACATAAAAGAAGCGGTATTTTGGATGAATGAAACGCCTTGTATTGATAAATCCATCGTCACAGAACAAATATAAGTGACTCCCAGCATTATAATTTCCAACTCCATACAAGTTCGTTAGGTTTACATGAATGCGGTCCGTTTTAATCTTATTCAGTATTACCCGTCCATGACCCTTTTTGGCTTTCCTGTAATTCTCTCAGTTCTATCTTTCGGCAGTTTGAAGAAGTTATTCTGATATTTCAGTCAATTCTGTGGTCCTCTGGCGAACCCCTAGAATAGCTTGACCTAAGCCCTTTAATCTATAAATGACCAACTTTTAATTTCCACTGATAGCTGTACTGTTCAATCAATCATAAAGGTCATGAAAAAAAAAAGGAAATCATCTACAAGAGACAATGAGTGTTAAACAAATAAAGAGAAGTGTGACGTCAGGTTACTATGGTAGCAAAAAATTCTGGATCTCAACAATTTTTCTTGACAGAGGCGGCTAATTTCATTGTCGAACGATGGAACAAAAGCATGGGCTACTAATTTGTCCCTGAGTGCAATATTGCACAGGAAAGTCAAGACAACTTTCATGTTTTTTCCTCTCATATTTGCAAGACAACGGTTTTTTCAGTTCCAGAAATTTTGCCCCCATGGCAACGTGACGTAACGACTTCTCCCTACTGTTCGCATCAGTATCACAGGAAATGTATGAAGAACAGTGCAGAGAAAATCCATGGTGATATTAGGTTTCAAAAACTGCTGTAGCGAACCTGAAATGAAACACAGCAAGTACTCGAGCTGCTGCTCTTTTGTGTAAATAAAATGGCTGAACTGTCATCATCAGAGCTGGATCCAGAATCACTGCTGTCATCAACACTCAACGGTTCAGGAGCTGCCCCAACTGCTCGGCGCACAGGAACAGGGCGTCGGCTACAAAGAAAACAGAGTCGGGCTGAGTCCACAGGACTCCTAACCTGAAGAACAGGCGTTATTTTTTCGCCGTCGAGCGAAGGCAAGCATGAAGCGAGCGCCGAGCGCGAGACACGCGAGTCGAGGAAAGGCGCCTTCCCCCGTCACGCGACTCGCGCTCCACGGCCACTTCGTACCTATTAGCTCGCCTAAAAACGCAAAAAAAAAAAAAAATAGTTCCTGTTCTGCAGGCTACACGACTCCACAGATACACTGTTAATAGAGATTTCCGCGTTTAACGATTTCTGTAAATACAATAGAGTGATTTAGAATGGCGTTTACAGCAAACGGCAAACCTCAATTTATACCACGAGAAAGTTTTCCCTTTTTCTTGTGGTTTACTGTTCATTATGTCTAAATAAAAACAAATAGTTTCATGTCAGGTTTGTCCATAAGATTTACTTTGCACATTTTTTATTTTTTCATTTGCTAAACTAGACAGCTGCAAAATCAGGACTCATGTGGAAATAGCCCCATAAAACTCAAGTGAAATCTGATGCAAGGCCAAGGGCTCACCGAGTGTGAGATCACAAGGAAATTGTTCTCTATTACGCTTCGCATTATACCAACTACAGATTCTTATGCAAGAATGACTGTTCATCTCTTTCTGTTAAAAGAGAGTAGTAAAGAAGATATTTAACGAATTTAGAATAAGCACTTCACTGCAAAGCCGAAGAATTACGAGGTAACTCAGCGCTCATTGGAAAATTGGGAGCTTAAGCAACGACGACGGCGACGACAACAAGAACGGCAAAAAAGGAATAGGTTTAGATTGGTAAAACAACAACTTTACACGTGGATCACGCTTTTTGTACATTTCTTTGCCGTCACTGCACGACGACGACGTGAAACTTTCTATTTTCACGTTTTATGGAGGGCGTAAACGCAAGACAGCGATTTTCTTTTTCTTTTTGTGAACGTTAATACAGTCCTCTAGATTCAACTCCTGAAAAAGACGGCAACAATTGACAAATTAAAGGAGTTGGAATAAGAGCGATGAAGTTCAAAACAGCGCGAATTCACTTTCTGGGTGACGTTTTTGCTGCCGTTGCCGTCGTGGATGCTTAAGCTCCGTAATGTAACAAAACAGACAACAAAACACAAGCTAAAGAGGTCTGTTAATAAACATATTATGCAAAATTTCATCCGGTACTTACCCTGTGGCTTTAGCAGGAGCTCTCACTACAAAAGGACTGTGATTATACGAATTTGGTGGCATGAAATCTCTGAAAACAAACATGACAAGCTAAGTTAAACATCTGAAAGCTTAAGTTCTGTCAACAGTTACAGTTTCCTTACAGTCAACATTCCCTTGAAACATGAGGGTTTTCGCCGGAACTCGCCTGAGTTCAGCCCTTTATAACCCAATCAGCACTCATTAGGAAGCTTTAAATTCGCGTTTTTTCAAACTTTGTCGAGTGTTTACCAATTCGCTGAAATTGTCTAATGAAAGGCGAATTTTCCTACAGTTGATTTCTTGCGGACCACACTCAAGTTTAGAAAGAGGAGCAAAATTTTGTCGTTGCTTGTTTACGTCCTCCATAAAACGTAAAATTAAGCATTTTCACGTCGCAGTCGTTCAGTGACGGCCAAGAAATGTTCAAAAAAGCGTGATGCACGTGCAGAGTTGTTGTTTTGCTCAACAAACCTATTGCTTTTTTGACGTTCTCATTGCCGGCGCCCTCGTCGTTACTAAAGCTCCCTATTACTGTACGTGAGGCTACAGTTGAAAGATTACGATATTTTGTATTCCACGCAAGATGAATATGTGATCCCTTCACGATTAATAAAAATCCTACATAACTGCTCCTCTTTGATTTAATTTCGCCGGTCTAACACTTTGGGTCAAATAGCTGAAAGCTTGCATCCGTTTTAAGAAAATAACTTTAAATCAAAGAAGGTTACTGAATATTTATTACAACTCATCTTGGTCACGGCCTCTCCATATTTTTAAGCTAATCTCAACTATAACAAAATTCTCACAGCTGATTGGCTCGCTTCGTTCGCCACACATGAAGAGCTTGCTTTTAGGCTATCCTGTTTTGAATAACACGGTCCAGTGAGTCTGTCCGCGTCAAATTCATTTGAAAAAACCAAGTTACAACTCATGTACCTGCACGATTTCTGCATGACGTGGGGATAAAGATTCTCCAGGACGGTCAAATCATATGGCTGATAAAACTCTGAAAACAAGTCCACTAGTTCATCATCTACTCCATCTGAATGTTGTTTACGTCCGTCTTTATCTTTGCTGCCATTCCCTTCATCTGGCGTAGAATCTACAGAACGTAAAATGTAAATTTGTCAACACATTTTCTTACATAACTCTGGCTGAACATTTTTAAAGCATCAATACTTAAAAATACTGTTCTTATATAATTTATTCAACTTTTAAAGACGATGCATCATTGGGTTCGCCTCGGTTGGATAGGAATAATTCTCAACCCACTAAGCCCTATTATTATTCATTCAAAATACTTCGCCGTTTCTGATTGGCTTTAGACCGCGAGCAGTCTTATTTTTCTGTTAAGCCACAGTTGATCCCAAGGAACGAGGGCGGAAGCCCGAGGGAAGTGGAAAATTGTCCTTTTTCCTCTCTCCTCCACAATCTCTCCTCCTTTTTCCCATTAATTTGCATAATTTTTTTGCAGTCCCCGCGCCGCGTAGCTTTGCGGAAAAAAGAACGACCACTCAAGGGTCTAAAAATGGTCACGTGATCAACATTGCTGTTCGACTCTGCTCTAACACTGTCTATTTGTATACATACCGTCAGGGGTAGGGCCGGGCAAAGACCTGACCACAGCCTGATCCCACCATCTGGTGTAACTGAGAAGGATAAAAACGGTTCACTTTACATAGGAATGTAGTATCTGATTAAGTAAACGCTTGAAGTAGAAACAAATATCAACATGTCGCAAACGAACGAGAGACAACAAAGCTCGCGTAAAAGGAAACATTAAAATTCCTGATCATATAGAGACCTTTTTAAAATAAAAATGGTAGTTTCAATCCGGATATTTTGCCTCCTATTTTATTTTCTCAGGTTATAAAAAAAGTTGTGCGACGGCCATTTCCTAGTTCCTAGGCCACATTTTTCCGCGCGGCCTGTGCGTTTCTGGTCACGTGGTACTAGCAAGTTTAAGTCACCGAAACGCATTGACCGAGAAGGCCTGGGAAGATGCCGTGCGTGGACAAGGCAACGATAGCGAGCTTAAACAAAAGGGAGTTTAAGCAACGACGTTTTTGAGCGACGCAAGTCAACCGGAACTGGAATTTTTGAACTCTTCGGCCGTAATTTTGAACAAATTCTTGGGGAAATAGTCTTTTTAAGAGCGAAGACACTTAGCTGGGCATATCAAAAGAGAAGGAAGCTCACTTCCGGTTGACGCGCTTAAAATCCCTGAAGACGATTTTGAGCGACGCACGTCAACCGGAAGTGGACTTTTTGGATAAGAATAAAAATCAAAATTATAATAATAATATCCTTTGTTTACCCTTGGCAGTATTTATAGTGCTAATGCTAGTGGGGCCGAGCAAATGCCTGAAACAAACATCCCAAGTGACCAGAGGCAAACCAGGGCAAACCAGTTGGCTATTTACAAGCGTGACCGGGTCAGGGCTTGAACTCGGGACTACCGAGAACAACCCATCTAGCGGTCAGGGCTGGACTTGAACTCGGGGCCTCCGGATTGAAAGTCAAGAGCAATAACCGCTCGGCCACGCTGCCTCCCTTAACTGTTCGCGCAAATCGTTTTTATAAGAGTACAGACACTTACGGCCTGTTTACATGGACATGGGGCACCCCAGATAGGTGAGGTAACATTTGGCGGGTCACCCCACCTATCATGTAAATGTGATCAAATGAAAATGAGAGATTATATGGACAGGCGGGTTACCCACCAAAGCGGGTTACCTCACCTACCTGGGGTCCCCCACCTCCATGTAAACAGACCCTTAGCAAGACAAATTTGGTAGCGTCAAAGCATATTAAAAGGGAAAAGGCAACGGTTGACGTGCGTGGCTCAAAAACGCCTTTGCTTAAGTTTGCTAATGGCCATTATGACACAAGGAAACTATTGAAAGGAGACATAGTATTAAAACCAACCTTTTCTTGGTCTTGGAGGCCTTTAAGTCCAATGTTGTATTGTGGTGTAGGTAATAATCACTCGGTAATTCCCAGATGTTACGCTTCTCCAGCAGCGGTAAAAATATTCCAAGAAACAGATTCAAGGCCTGTTGCTTGTCAGCATCTGCAAAGACGGATTCCTTAACACTCAAATTACAAATTACCGTATTTACTTTTAAGACTCTTCGTCTACTTCTAATGTATGTCAAATTTAACCGAAAAATATAAATTGAAATAAACATTGGCTAAAATACAAAAAAAAACTCTTTCCGCCACATTCTTCTTTAACACCTCTGATGATCCAAGTCCCGTATCATGTTTAGTTCAAGTTCATTTTTTTAAATCAATGATTCAGACCTGGATGAATTATTTCAACCAAGAATCATAGGAAGAAAATTGGGGAAAAATGTGAGAGTAGGTATGAAATTGAACTTTTAAAGGGGAAGTGTGCAGTGACTAAAGGAGCAAGGATTTCGAAACGGCCATAGTGGATCACTTAATTCTGCCTTCCTTTGAGAATTCCTGCCCTTTTTTCGGTTCAAAAGGCACAAATTACTTCACTTGCATTTAGAGGAACTTAACTACTGTATAAAGTTAGGTTTCAGTCGTTCCACTGGAACAGTACAGTACTATAATTCAAACATACTGATAATCGAATTAACGAAAGCACCCACAAAAAGTCAATATTCTTCAAGTACCTTTAACCCCTTAACCCCCAAAATCAAAATATATATCCTTATTTGCTGCACCTCAAAACAATTTTCTATAGAAGTAAAGACGAGAAGATGATAAAACATCGAAAAAATTCACCTTTTTTATGCGTACAAGTCCCGCTTCTTATACGCACATTTTTCGCTAAAACGCATATTTCGTCGTTCATTAAGTCAGATAAAAGTTTTGTTTTGTCCCACAAAAATAGTGACTTGGCCGGACATGTGTCGTTTGACGAAAGAAGAAACAACACAATGGGAACACGGGTTATCTCACCAGTGAAGGCGTTGCTGTAGTAGCGAGACACTGTCTGCATGATGTCCCGTGAATGAGAAGTAAATGGTGATACCTTGCGATATGTTCGAATTCTAAAGAGAATAACAGGACAAAATTGTAACCACTGTTATAAAATAAACTAAGTGAAAAAAAACACCATTAAATGAAAGACTATCATCGCAGTTGTCGACGAAAAGTTTGTAGTTGTGAAAAAAATTCAGGTTTGGACAGTATTCGAACCCTCGACTTCTGCGATACCGCTCAGTGCAGCCCTCTACCAATTGAGCTAATAAGCCAACTGGAAGCAGGTCACCGAGTTGGTTCGTTATAGAAAATTTGAAAGGATGACCATAAAAAACAAAATGATATCATACCCATGGACGAGCTGTGATCCACCATACTGAAGAGCCAAAGTGTCTCCATGAGCTTCATAGAGATCTTCCAAAATCCTAAAAATTCAAAGGATATAACATATTTAATTTAATAAGAAAGGGTGGACACAACCTTCATTGCTTGTCCGTATTATGAAACGACCAACAAGGTGAGGTTTTCGAGGTCTAGGGTCTTAAACACCGTTTTGAACGGGCTGTCTTTCTGAACTGGATCATTGAACAGGAGGTGCAAGTTGGTAGTATAGTTCGCAATCTACATGTGTAGTACCAAGTTTTTTTATGTCAGTTATTATTTTTTTCGTAATAAAAAAACAAGGCAGACAAAAATCGCAGGTCTCCTAAACGGGGGTGGCGATGCTGTCTCAAACAAACTCAGGTTTTGAAGGCTTCAGCAGTACGTCACCACCTAAATTGTACATAATGCTCTTGTTTCCCCACTAAAACACTCCACTTTTATGTTCCATCTTTTTGCACTAATGCGCGGTCGCTACACAAAAGAAATTAAAATGCTCTGATAAAGCTCATCGTAGAGAGGCTTTTTATATCATCTCTAAACATTTTAAGAGGGCTTAAGGCTAACAAAATGTATAAGTACATTAAGAAAACCATGTATACAAGTGAATAGTCTTGATACAGCACCAAAAGATCCTGTGCAAGGCTTTGTTGAGGTTCAATTCGAATATTTCTGGAATTTCGTGTTTCTTTCCATATTTATTATCACTGAGAAAAAAAAATAATATTCCGAGAATATGGCGCAGTGGTCAGAGCACTCGTCTCCCACCAATGTGGCCCGGGTTTGAATCCTGGCGTGGACGCCATATGTGGGTTGAGTTTTGCCTTTGCCTTGCCTTGCTCCGAGAGGTTTTTCTCCGGATACACCGGTTTTCCCCTCTCCTTAAAAACCAACACTTTCAAGTTCCAATTCGATCTGGAACGCACGGACACGTTTCAACGAGTTCTTATGAACTCCTTAGTGCTCCGTGGGTAAACAAATTACAATTTAAAAACAAATTACAATTTTCCATAAGGCTCAATGCTTTTGCCTTACTAAAATGCTCGAAAAAATGGTAATAAAAACTATAGTTCATAAAAATATCACGTTTCTCCGTAACCAACCTCACAGCATCTGAGTCAAACTCCACAAATGGTTTGTCAATCACCCCTAAAGCGTGTAACTAAACAGAGCATTAAACAAGTTTCAGCAAACAGCATATTTCTAACATTAATAATTATTAATTGTCACAAATACATGTAGCAGGTGCTGTTTGGAAAGTAGTAGCTTGTTTCACCCTCCAAGATTGTAACGTGCAGAGATCGAGAAAACGGATGCGAAAAAAGGGCTTTTTGCTGCCGCCGCGCTCTTTCCCAGATCACGCGCGGCCTACTTTCCCTTTCTGCGAGCCTAGCACAGACCATTTGAAAGAGAAAAACTTACTTTCCTCGCTCACAGCATTTTTTCAAAATCGAAGCTCGCAAACAATCTGTTATGTTGGGGTTTGTAAAATTTTGCCCAAAAATCCAGCTAACAGAGGGGTGAGAAACAATTTGTAGCTTGGCACTAGTAAGCTACCCGATGGCGATATGCACCCTGAACATAACCACCAAACAAAAGGATTTGTGACTTGTGGCTGGTACTACAACAGCATTCACAAACATGCCAGAATCTGCCACTTTTACCTGAAATCCCAAGGCACATTTGCCAACCATGAACTGAGCTGTATTTGTTCTGTCTAGACAATCCACGCAGTTTGTCCTCAGCACGCCATTCTTGGAAAGAAAAATAATTATTGTAATGATTAAAGGCAAATTAATAAACAGGGAAATTAACCGACGGCTATCATGATAACGAAAACAACAACATAAAAAAAAACAATGTAAAAACAACAACTCTTGCTTGTACAGTACGTATCACACTTTTAGCACATTTCATTGTCGTTATCTGCAACAACTGTGAGGAGGAAAAACTCCGTGCTATTGTCACTAAAATTCCTGTAACCATTATATTAAGCAAGCTTTCAGTGAATTTTAGGTAATAAAATAACATCAAAAAATCAATGTACCTGCTCTCTTCCAACAGAATCATCAGCATATCCTCTTCCACGCATACCATCACATCTGCAAGCAAATAATAATCATAATAATAAAAATTATAACTTACCACTTATTTAAAAAAGAAAAGAAATTACAATAATGTAACTTGATATTTAACTATTAAAAAGTAATCGTTTTTAAACCTAAAAACTCTAAGAATGTTAAATGAGGCATGAATGCTGAAATACGGTGCCAAAATGCCATTTCAAAGCTAACCGTGGTAGTTCAGGTATTTAAAATTGACTGAGTGGTAAGGGATGGCCTTTATCGCTTACTTGGAGCATAAACTTCTCTGGGAAGTATTTTTCAAGGAAATAAGGGGAAGTTCTTTAGCAATAATTTCTTGACCAGATGTTGAATAACGTGGCAAGCATATACTCTATCAATGATGTGATAAAAACTTTGTCCATTCCTCAGAAAATCTGGAACAGTTATGGCAAATGTATACTGATGGACACCAGGTAGTGAACAGTAACGCATTAGGGTAGCTGGTTGGTTGCAGCCAGAGAAGTAAACATCATATCTGTATACCTGAAATCTTTTCTGATCTGGTTGCAGTATAATTCTTGACCACTGTGAAAAAACCCAGTTGCTTTGAAAACCTAAAAGAAAGGAAGTCGCAGAAAAACTGCTTTAAAAGCAAGATCCATAACATCCACATCAACGACAAAATCTATGGGTGACATTTTAGGATTCAGAAAAATTACCATAAATATGAGCATATAGATTTTAAGAAAAAGCCTTATAACAAAAAGACTGGAGGGCTTTTGAAATGGTTGTCTGTAAAAGCTGTTTGTAATCAATTGAGGAGATCTTGATAACAAGGTTGATTTAAGGCA